AAAAAAATTAAAAGAATTGAAGAATTAGAACAGGAAATCAATGACATTAAATTGCGGTTAGAAAATTCTCAGCGGCAAATCACACTTTACAAAGAAACAATTTGTGCTCGAAAAATTGAAAGCTAAGAAAAATATAGTAACTTTTTACACTGGTTTTAATAACTGGGATGCTTTTTAAGCGGCGTTCAATTATCTTGGCGATTCATTTCGACTCTGGTAAACACTGGCATTTTCTCGAGCGAAGTGCCCCAACCGTCGTCGGGAAATTGTACCGAAATACCCTCTTCTCCGCTAACATCAGTGAAGGTGCTCAATCGTTCTTTTCTGGGACTGTAAATCTTCTCTGGATCTGGCTCTACAATATTTTTATCTTTGCCAGTTCTGATCTACTCGTACACTCGTTTCACCAGCTCCGCTTTTGTCTTCAGACCTTTTCCCAAATCATCGCGGCACTTAAGCCACAAACGTAGTTCTGTGTTTTTCAGCACTTCAGGCTTTCGTCCAAGTAGAGAAGCGCCTAGAATATCATCTTCAATTCCGTGAGAAAAATCGCATTGGGAGAATCATCGCGTAAGCTACTCGAGGAGGAGAGTGAAATTTTGAGGCCTTTGTGACCTCGTTTTCATGCTATTCTCACCAGGCCTCGCGCTACGCCTGCCATTATGAACGTCGTGTATTATCGCGCGTCTTTTAACTAACTGAAGGCCTGGAACAGGCTAGGATAAGATCGTCGAGAAAAGATCATTTTACAGCTTCGATCCAGGAGAAAGTAATCTCCCATTATGCGTTTCTAGAGGATCTCTTTTCCCAATATGTCCTCTGTAACTCTCCTGCTCGTTAAAGGGGTGTAAACAGTAAATTAGAATTAAAAACTTGAGTGGTCTTTGCGAAGGTCGAACAAAAATCGTAACAATAAGATTAAATTAAAATTTCTTTAACCACAGCTTCCAGCAACAACAACTTAACTTAATCTTGCGACAATTTTCTTCACGTTTATGTGGTAATACATACTTACATACGTTTCTTGAAGCTCCCCCATAAGGGCGTTTCAGCCACTCATGATCGGGTTGCCTCTGACCAGTTGGGCGTTCAAGCGGTCCAGAAAAAGAGAGATTTTTTGTTGAACGCTTAAAAGCAAAGAATTAGCTAAGAATTCCTTGTGACTTTACGATCGAAGCTCAGGGAGCTGACTCCTTTCCCCTTTCCCTCAAATAACATCGAACTTGCTAGAATTTGGGATGAACAGATTCTAATCTTTGAGTTGAGAATCGTGTTCTCATGTTCACTCTTTGTGTTTGTTACAGTTACCTTCCTGACTCTGGTGATAAGTGATCGTAAGTACTGATTATTTTTTTATGACTACATTTTAATCTGCAGTTTTGTTTTGTATTTAAGTCTACAGAATTTCTCACTGATTATTAACGGTAAGAATTGTGTCTGTATGTAACACATCAGTTTTCTTCATTACCGAATTCTTTCGCCTGCAGCAAGAAATCTGTAGAGTCATAAGAGATGTTCTCTTTTTCAGCCTACACCTCTTCTGGAAAATCCATTAATGCTTCAAGTGGTCACATTTTAGCCCCAATTTTCCCGACAACTTTAATACGAGCAGCACGTGTACCTGGAATATCACAGTACTCAGTGGGAAAATACAAAGAAAGTCGCCAAAACGCTGTTTTGGCGACTTTCTTTGTAACGCGTGCGGTGTCACCAGTCAACGGTATAAAAGGAAAAATTATAGGAAAAAATGAAAAAATTAGAAAAGATAATAAAAGCGAGGAATATATCGTATGGGGTCTTCTTACTTTTTTACATTGCTGCTTTATCGATCGTTTACGGTCCTTTTAACGCTGTTTTGGCAACTTTCTTTATAACGCGGGGTGCTACGATAACAATTTTTTTCTATGAAATACAATTTCAAGTTCTTCATTACCGAATTCTTTCTTCTGCAGTAGGGAATCTAAAGAGTGAGTGAAAAATACTCTCTTTTTTAGCCTGCACCTCTCCTGGGAAATGCATTAATGCTTCAAGTGGTCACATTTCCAGCCTCAATTTTCCCAACAACTATGAACAGAACAGAACATGTACCTGGAATATCACGGTGCCGAGTGGGAAAATCATCAAACTGACCTTCTTGAACTTTACCCTGGTATTAAATGAAAGCACAGATTGTTGTGGAGCGGCAGCAACCAGTGCCCGAGTTTTTATCACAAACGTTGCTTCTTATGGAGGAGATCCTAATAGCTTTAAGCTTTGTGGTCAAAAGCTTCCCTGTCCTGTTTATTCCGAGGGAAATTTCATCCAAGTGAAATTTGAATCCCGCTCCGGCATTGTTAACAAAGGATTCAATGCAACATTTGAGACGACAGATGGAGATTCACGTAGGTGCTTTTCTTCTATGGTATTTAATGAAGGAAGTATAAAAGTACATTGAGCAAATACCCCTATTGAAGTAAGCGGGAAATTTGTTGGGTTTATCGTGCAAATAAATAAGTAATCAAACTATTAGTTAGAGTCTGTAGAAAACGTTAAAGGTAATCAAACCTTCTACTTTCCTCTACTCTTTATGCAATGTCTGTCTACTGTTCTATGCTTGAGATTCCAATTAAGATATAGCTGTTCAATAAGGCACGAAACAAGCTCTAAGTCTTTGTTACTCTTTTCAGTGTACGATGAATATATGAAGTTCACATAAAAAAAAAAAATAATAATATATGAACTTCATATATTCATCGTATCTGATTTATCATCACGGGTTTACTACGAATCAACTTAACGGCCTGCTCCCAGTTGGCTTGTTAGCTCAATTGGTAGAGCGCTGCACTAGTATCGCAGAGGTCAGTGGTTCGAATCCCGTACAGGCCTGATTTTTGCTATTGCATAAATAGCGCTCTCTACTGCGAGGATCGTGCATCCTACGTATCTTTTCAGTGTGTCCCACACACGTGATCCTCAATGAAACATCAGGTTCTTTATCCTCTCCCTTTTATCCAAGAAACTACTCTCCCTTTTATCCAAGAAACTACCCATTCAACCAGACTTGTAGCTGGAATATTACTGGGAAACGAGGTTACCGTGTTGAGCTCACAATACCAGACTACAGTCTTCACCAATGTGACGCCGCTTGCTCGTGTGATTATCTGGAAGTTCAAACTAGCTTCACTGAGGATTCGCCGGTTGGAAAACTTTGTGGTACATTAAGGAATATTGATTTAAAATTATATTCAATACACGAAAGCCTAAGGGTGGTGTTTGTGTCCGATTATACCAAATTCGATTATGACGGATTTAAAGCAACTTACCTACTGTTGAACTACAGTCCTCCAAGTAAGTGGAGGAAACAATTTCGTGAGATCCAAGAGCTCGTTGGAAGACGCTGTTTCCATGCAATTAATCCACTGGTACCAGTAATGACATCGAACTTATTTCATACTGAAGAGTGGAGGTTTTCTAAGTTATCAGTCGGTGAATGTGAATATTTCTGGTATGAAGTGTAAGCGGGGAAGTACTCAAAAACTATGTTAGGCTTAAAGTGCACCTAAACCCAAAAATTTTTTTTCGCTTAACGAAATAAGCGTATTTTTTGGAGTATATCTGTGCAAACATTTTTTTTATTTGCTCATATTTTCAATTGTCTGTGCCCAGTCAAAATACGGAAAATCGGCCGCCATCTTGCCCCACGGCCGAGTTTAAAGAGGAATGGCTCTAGCGGGTAATGTGACGTCAAATCGAGAACACGAAAGTCTGCATTTCACACATTTTCGCTTGTTTGGGAAGGTTGTAGTCGATTTTGTCCGAAAATATGCCGACTAAGTGTGTTGTAGGAGGATGTAGCAACGTGCGAAATTTGCAAGAGGGTATCACGCTTCATACATTCCTCATACAACACACCTGGTCGGCATATTTCGGACAATATCGACCACAACCTTCCCAAACAAGTGAAAATGTGTGAAAAGCAGACTTTCGTGTTCTCGATTTGACGTCACATTACCCGCTAGAGCCATTCCTCTTTAAACTCGGCCGTGGGGCAAGATGGCGGCCGATTTTCCGTATTTTGACTGGGCACAGACAATTGAAAATTTGAGCAAATAAAAAAAATGTTTGCACAGAANCGAAAATTGGCCACAAGGGTCTAAGATCAAAAGTCAGCCACCAGCGATCATCTTCAATGAATTTGAATCTATGAAAATCATATTTGTATACCGTGGTTTCATGAAATATATAAAACCGATCCTCGCAGTAATGAACCCTACTTATGTGGTAGTGGAAATAAGACCTGAGAAAATTCAGGCCCGTACGGGATTTTAACCCATGACCTCTGCGATATTAATATGCAAAGGTCATGGGTTCAAATCGTGTACGGCCTGAATTTTTTCCAAGTCTTTATTTCCACTACCACATAAGAAGGGTTCATAACTGTAACGATCATCTTGCTATAACATCTTCTGCAGAAACAAAACCGACAAATAAAGCGACAGCAAAAACTGAATCAACCACGACAAAGGACAGACGCCAGTCAACCACGACAAAGGACAGGCGCCAGTCAACCAGTGGTAGGTACCCTGGAAATTTTCTTTGCGCTGACTATTCCAGATTAATCAAACGGGTTTGTTTTAATTAGAACTGTTAAACCGCAGCCACCAACTTCTCACATCGCCTTAACCCTGAAGTCATCGTTAAATGTTTTGCTCTTTCAGCGACTAGTTCCAAATAGAAGACATCATGTTAGCTATGCCAAACATCCTGAATTACTTTTACAATGATGTGTTGCATCAAACAAACCACAAAAATATAGGTGTGTGTAGGGTACTTAGCTTTCAAAACAAATGTGAAACATGCAAAGTGCCTCAACCCTTAAAACGAACTTCATCATCATCTTGATGAGCCCATTACAGGCTGTCAATCAGTTCCTTAAAATACTTCATTGATGCGAGAAATCGATGCGGTGGGGGGGGGGGTAATGACCTTCCCTTGTACCCCCAGTTGCGTAATGAAATTAGTTTTTCTAAGCCTTGACAGATTATATAACTGATTGAAAGTATCAGCAGGTCTTTCCACCAAAATATCCTTGTCAAACAATGATCATCAAATGCCGTTAATGAAGACATTTTGACTTTTCGCAATCAATATTAGCGCCAACGGAATCCTTATCAGCTGGTGCCGCCGTAGGAATAGCATTGGGTTGTTTGGCTTTTCTTCTATTCGGCTTTGTAGTTGGTTACTCAAGCCATCGTTACGGTGAGTCCGATCGCTTCCTTTCTTTTTCGGGAAAAGGGTATAGTGCAATTATAACCTCCTTGTTCGTAGATAAATGATAAGGCCAGCCTGCTATCTGAACTTTCTTTGAAGGATGATAAAAGTTTTAGTGGAGGGTACCAGTGAGTCGCATTAGGAGGTCTACTTAGTCTTTCATTTGCCCGGTCAGAGACTCTTTCAGGGGATCTTAGATACCCTAAGGAGTGTCGGAGGTAACCTGGTCAGATTTCATTCTGTATTTTTCGTGGAACCAAGTGTGTTTCCCTCTATTCTTAAAATGTCCATATCTTTGGTCCTCGGGAGGGCGTTTCTAGAAGAAATCGTCACGAATGCGCTGCACGAAGCTATAGCTTGAGAGAAACCATTCTGAACAAACAATTTACAGCATGACCAAATATTCCAACCATTTTCCCCTCTTGGGAACCTACTCTCGACATTAGAATAAAATGAAAACTCCAACATCACGGGGCATCTTACACTGTTTGAGTTTGAAACATTGTTCTTATTCTCGACAGTTAAAAAGAACAAGAGAAGAATTTCTCCGAATCACGAAGGCAATGAAATGGAAAAAGGCAGCAGAGAAAATTACAACAGATCTGCACCTGACAACTGAACGTGATTTACGACAACCTAGAATGCCGAGTGGTCGAGGTGGTTACAGTGCTTGTCCTGAAGTCCGGTCCAGGTCTCCCACGGTCTCCACCCTGCTACTCAATGTTCTATTTTCTCGTTTGCTTCAAGTTCAGCTCTTCACCGTCGCTTTCAAAATAGCAAACCGGTCTACTTCCAGTCAGTTGGGGTTTTTAACTCAATTCATGTTTATTTCAAATGTTTGTCCAATCCTGTGGATACCTAGGCCATACAATATAACTGCCGTTTTCTATCTTTTCTTATTTTTATTCAATTATGCGATTGAAGGAAAACCTTAAAAACCGATATCGCACTCATCGCTTCGCGATTCGCTCGACATCGATTTTCGCGTCCAATTTAACCCGGAATTCTCTCATCAGGTAAAAAAAATTTTTTTTAGAATTATTTGTTATGTTGCTCAGTAATTGCTTAGGGTTAATTACTACCCGGAGAAGGGGGAAAGAAGGATTTCATGGGAAGATCAGTGATCGCTAACAAAGCATCGTGACACGACCAAAATCCTCCCACCTTCTTGTCCACCATCTTCCCACCCGCGACAGATCTTCTTGACCGGTTCCAAATCACTTCATTTCTACAACGTACACAGAGTTATTCTTCTGCCCTTAGTCATGATAACAAAACGATTTGTTGAATAATTTAGTTAGTGAGTACAACGCACACAGTTATTTTTCTGCCCTTAGTCATGATGACAAAACGCTTTGATGAATAATTTAGTCAGTGAGTGGGGAGACACATTGAGGTTTTGTCAGGTGTAACTAACAGATTGTGGAGAAATATGAGAGAAGTTCTTAGTAATGATCTGACCTGGTTCGCCTTCGCTCATAGTGCATGTACAGTTGGTTGTATAATTTGATAAGTAATGTACAATAAAGTAGTTTTCGGTTGAGTGGTTTTGGCTTTCCTTGTTGCTTTAAGTAATCGGCCACAATACCTTGCACCAACATGTCAACCAATCAGATGCAAAACTAGAACCAATCGCAGAGGATACTCACGTTTTACCGCAATGACGCTATCCTCCAGCAAGGTACGTTCGATGACAATCGTTAAATATTCTTCAGCTAAATGCAAAGAAAAATTGTAATCAAGCCTGACCGTAGGATCTGTAAATCATCCATGCTTGACTAGTTTACGCTTTGTAATTGTTTGTTTTGGCTGAATAGTTGTGTGTTTTCATAACAGGGCGCTTCTTGCTCAATCTCATTAAAACCAAAGTATTTCTCAGGTATGAGAAGACAAATTCTGTTACATCGTACCGTCCTGATGAAACTTCACGAGTTCGGTTTTCATCTCTAACTGTTGGTTTTAGTCTTATCATTTCCTTCTAAATGATCTGATCACATTGTTTCGAGTGTCAACGAAATGGTGATATTTCGGTTTGGCCAAGTTATTTATGAACTAGAAAAACCGCAGTACTTTTTGAAATGACTGTGGCATTAGCCACTTCGTGATTTGTTCCATTTTGAAGTAGTTTGCTTTATTTTCGGAACGGTAGGCCAGAGCTCCATCATTGTTCGAATTGACTTACCAGTTTCCTGTCTTTTGTTCTCTTTTACCGTAATAGTAGCTTGGGCAATGAGCCTGGGGGGAGGTAAGGGTCGGGGGGGGTTAAGGTTGGTTGGACTCTCTCCCCTCCCCAAGTGTATTGTTTCGTCAGTTGTGGGCTTTTGGTTCACTGTTATCAAACATCTTTATTGACGACTTTAGTGTCAGACAATCAAGAAAGTGCGTTCAAATCCTAAAAGGAAGTCACATTGGTATGAAATGCTCGGATAATAAAGTATACGAACGATTGGATATTTACCCAGTGAGTCAAATTTGTTCAAAGGCGTGTCAAAGGACGATATCGCACGACCAACGGGACCCGTCGAGGTTTTGATTGGGTATGAGTATGCTGCGATTTATCAAATCTGAGTTTATTTGATTGAAACAATCGTAGAATAACTTTTAAGTAAATCTATGACGTCAGGCGTGTACCTCCGCTCTTTGAGCCATAGTGCAGCTCTCACTCCATTCGGTTCATCAAAGACTAAAATCGGGATAATGATGCAATGAATCACAATCACGCATGATCCGTGACAGGTCTCACTAAGTCTGTTGTTAGCTCAACATGGTTACACATTTCCGCGGTTAAACGTAAA